GACGCACCGTCATAGCTCACTGAAGACTGGAACTCCTGGGCTCAAGCAATCTTCTTGCCTTGGCCTCCCAAATAGCCAGGACTACAGATGCACACTACTATGCTCGGCTAACTTTAAAAAAATTTTTTGTAGAGATGGTAGTCTCACTGTGTTGCCCAGGCTGGTTTCAATTTCCAGGCCTTAAAGAGTCCTCTTCCATTTCTTGTAAGCCAGGTCTGTTTAAAAAAAAAAAGGAAATAGAAATCCTCCTCCCACGGCCGGGCGCGGTGGCTCACGCCTGTAATCCTAGCACTCTGAGAGGCCGAGGCGGGCGGATTGCTCGAGGTTGGGAGTTCGAAACCATCCTGAGCAAGACCCCATCTCTACTAAAAATAGAAAGAAATTAATTGACCAACTAAAAATATATATACAAAAAATTAGCCAGGCATGGTGGCACATGCCTGTAGTCCCAGCTACTTGGGAGGCTGAGGCAGGAGGATCGCTTGAGCCCAGGAGTTTGAGGTTGCTGTGAGCTAGGCTGACGCCAAGGCACTCACTCTAGCCTGGGCAACAAAAGTGAGACTCGGTCTCAAAAAAAAAAAAAAGAAATCCTCCTCCCAAAGTGCTGGGATTATACCACACCTTGCCCGTTGGTGCATTTTGAACAGAGTTGATTCGACCTTGTCTTAAGAACACTCCTCAGATGGCTGGGCTGGGACTGAGCAATGCTTCCACAGAGCTGGGCACAGGGCCTAACCAGTGATCCCCGGGACAGCCCGCTGCCCTCTCATGTTAACTGCTAGCCTCACTTCTTACCCTGGGTTTTATAGCATTTTACAAAAAAATCGTGGGTAAAATACTGCTACTTGCTGGGAAACAGAAATTTTACAGTGTTTTCAAGCCACGGGTCTTAGAATAAAGCTTATTATTGTTTTCCTTGCAACAAAAAGAAGCAAACTATCGATTCACACAGCAGCCTGGATGGACCTCCAGAGAATTATGCCAAGTGAAAAAGGCCAATCTTAAAAGGACATTTAGTGTGATTCCATTTGTATAAATTCTTTTTTTTTTTTTTTTGAGACAGGGTCTCACTTTGTTGCCCAGGCTACAGTGAGTGCCGTGGCGTCAGCCTAGCTCACAGCAACCTCAAACTCCTGGGCTCAAGCGATCCTCCTGCCTCAGCCTCCCGAGTAGCTGGGACTACAGGCATGCGCCACCATGCCTGGCTAATTTTTTGTATATATATTTTTAGTTGGTCAATTAATTTATTTCTATTTTTGGTAGAGACAGGGTCTCGCTCAGGCTGGTTTCGAACTCCTGACCTCGAGCAATCTGCCCGCCTTGGCCTCCCAGGGTGCTAGGATTACAGGCGTGAGCCACCGCGCCCGGCCTGTGCTGTGTCTTATGCCAGAAGTTACCATAGGAGGGGGTCCTTCTGTATTTTATTATTTTTGAGACAGGGTCTCACTCTGTTGCCCAGGCTAGTCTCCAGCTCCTGAGCTCTAGTGATCCTTTTGTCTCAGCCTCCTAAGTAGTTGGGACTAGAGGCACACACCACCACACCCAGCTTCTCTGTATTATTTTTACAATTGCCATGAATCTATAATTATCTAAAATGTGAAGGTTTTTTTTAATTGAAAAAAGAGGTTCAGGCACAGAAATTTAAAAATAGATCAATTTAATAGATTACAAAGTCCAGAATTGGATTTAAGTATAAATGAGCCCTTACTATACAATAAAATAGTAATAATAGGCCAGATGGAGTGGCTCATGTATAATCCTAGCACATTGAGAGGCCAAGACAGGAGGCCTGCTTGAGGCCAGAAGTTTAAGATCTGCCTGGGCAACATAATGAAACCCCATGTCAACAAAAATAGAAAAATTAGTTGGACATGGTGGTACAACTCTGTAGTTCCAGCTACTCGGGAGGCTGAGGCAGGAGGATTGCTTGAGCCAAGGAATTCAAGACCAGCTTGGATAATATAACAAGACCCCATCTTAAAAAAATTAAAATGGGCTGGGCACAGTGGCTCACGCCTGTAATCCCAGCACACTAGGAGGCCAAGGCCAATGGAGGCTGAGGCAGGAGGATTGCTTGAGCCCAGGAGTTTGAGGTTGCTGTGAGCTAGGATGATGCCATGGCACTCTACCCTGGGCAACAGAGTGAGACTCTGTCTCAAAATAAATAAATAAATAAATAAATAAATAAATAATTTAAAAATTAATAATATAAAAGTATGATTTCAAGTCAGAAATGTCCTTTCCCCAGTCCTCACCTTTGGATTCTAAAATAACTTGAGTCTGATCCAGGTATAAGAGGTAAAAGATGATCTGAAAGACTCTATCAAACTTTTCACCTTAATTATTTTTGGGTGTTGGGTTACAAATTGGTTTACCTTCTGAGTAATGTTCAAGTTTTCTGTAATAAGTATGAAAGATAGTTGCACCAGAAAAAAAAAGATTTTTAAATAAAAATGTGAAAAATAAATAAAAATGTGGGGAGGATGTACAGTCACCAAGTAGGCACAATCCCTGAGCTCTTTCTCAGGTGGCGGTAAATACCAGATAAGCCCAATCCTTCACAAGTGCGGCTCAGGAGCAGGACTTGCTAGCTGCGAGGCTGCCAGTCTGTTAGCCTGTGGGAACCTCAGTCCTGTGCAGAGGGGACCATGGAGTCCCCCACCTCATAGGTTGCTGGGAAAGTTAATTGGGTTAACATGTGAAGTCTTTCAAACAGTGTGTGTCACATAGTAAGTCCTCAATTAAGTGGAAAATACTCTGCTTTCTCTGGTTTTCCCCCCAGCAGCCCCTCACCTAGGAGACGGTGATAAGCAAAGGAATTGTGACTGACATCACCCTCCCCCATAGGCCCTGGGAAGGGGGTCTCTGAGGCACAACTAGTAATCCCACACAGGGGAGCCTGGAGGGAGACTCCCACCCATGGCTACCTATCCCACTCCTCAGGCTGAGGAAGGAAAGAGGCGAGCTCTTTTCCCCTGGGAACCGGCAGCCCAACTCTAGGGCCTAGCCCGGCCCTCCGGGGCTAACACCCCCTCCACCCTGCGTCGCCCCCAGGCGCGGCCCATCAGTCCCTGCGTTCTCCCACCGCGATAGCCCAGGCTCCGAGGGTGCTGTCGCCAGCCACACCACAGGAGCAATCCTGTAATTGGACACCGAGACTTAAACTGCAGGCGCTGCGGGGCCTTCCACGCCGCAGAGGTCGCCCACAGGGCCGGGGGACCGTGGCGCCTGCTTGGGGGCTGGAAAGGGCGTGTGGCAGCCTGAGAGCAGGGCGAGACTGCACGTGACGCCCGGCGCGAGGTGGGCCTGGGACGCGCCGGGAGGACGCGCGCGCCCGCGCTGCGCCCACAAAGCCCCACTCCCAGCCGGGCGCCGGGCTGAGCGCGGGCCGTGCCGCGGCCGGCAGGGGCCGCCACGCAAGGCGGGGTTCGGAGGGGCTCCAGAGGGCTTCCGGTGGCCCGCGCCCCGGGGCGCCTCTAGGATTTTTTTGCTGTTTTTTTTTTTTGAGTCAGAGTCCGCTCTGTGGCCCGGGCTAGAGTGCAGCGGCGCCATCTCGGCTCCCTGCAGCCTCGAGCTCCGGGCGCCCGCGATCCCTCGGCCCCCGAGCGGCGGGGCCTGCGGACGCCACCACGCCGGGCGAGCACCTTCTCCCCTTTCTCAAGGACGCTCCCCCAGCGTCCTCTGCACCCCGCTCCGGGACGGACGCGGGCAGCCCTCCGCCCTCCGCGACCTCGCCGCCCGCACTCCAGCCACGCCCTCCCGCCCGCGGTCCCTCCTCCTGGCAGGGCGCGGCGGCTCCCCGCAGCGGCGCATTCCGCACCCCGCCCCCGGCGCCTGGGGGCGGGGCGGGGTCCCAGTGGCCCAGCTTTGGAGCCCTGCCCTCACCCCGCACACGTGCCCTGCACCGAAGGCCCCAGCAGGCTGGAGACCCTGCTTTTGACACCTCGGGGACCCTGCACTGGCCTCTGACCCAGCCAGCAAGTCAGGTGACCCCAAGTCTAGGACACATTGTACTGCTCAGAGGATGAGGCCCCACCCTGAGACGTGGAGGGCGGGCTTGGGTCCACACCACTGGAGGTAGCCATGCTGAGACGCGGGTCCTGCAGTGGGCTCAGCTCCTTCCAGCCTGGACTGCCGTGGGCGGGCCTGCAGGACGGGCGCAGGCCGAGGCACCCCCGCACCCCCGGCCCTCCTGCAGCCGAGTCCCGCTGCCAGCCGGCCAGAGAACTTGTATTATGCATAGGCGGTTTTTCGTTCTGGAAGGCACTATGCAGGGCTTCTTGGGATGCACTGGGATTTCACAGGATAGTGGTTGGGGCAGGGGAGCCTATGGGATGATCTGGGGGTTATTTGGGTTTTCCTGGTGTGGGTCAATGAAGGAATTCCACATTTCCTACCACAGAGAGCGTCCACTAAGTGAGGTACGGTCTCCGTGGGGAGAGCTGCTGGGGGTCACCCTAGGTCACTGCCGCGGGTGTCTGGTCCTCAGGCCCTCCAGAGTCTAGGCAAAGGGCAGAATCTGTAAGATCTTTTTTTTTTTTTTTTTTTTAAGACAGAGTCTCACTTTGTTGCCCAAGCTAGAGTCAGTGCTGTGGCGTCAGCCTGGCTCACAGCAACCTCAAACTTCTGGGCTCAAGCGATCCTCCTGCCTCAGCCTTCCAAGTAGCTGGGACTACAGGCATGCGCCACCATGCCCGGCTAATTTTTTCTATATATATTAGTTGGCCAATTAATTTCTTTCTATATATAGTAGAGACGGGTCATCTCTTGTTCAGGCTGGTTTCGAACTCCTGACCTCGAGCAATCCGCCCGCCTCGGCCTCCCAGAGAGCTAGGGTTACAGGCGTGAGCCACCGCGCCCAGCCTGTAAGGTCTTTGGATATAACGTGTGGTGGGTGGGGGAATTCTCAAAGTGGGCCCTTGCTGGGAGCGGGCCTCGGGATACGCTTGAGGCCACAGGGAGCAGCAGCAATGCACAAAGGGTCACAAGATCACCCAGGAGAGCAGTGGGACCAGTTTAATCTGTAGATAAGGTTTGGAGCCTGGGAGCCTAACAGCCTGCCCTGGAGGGCCAGTCCATACTGGAGGGCTCCGCCTGGGGGAGAGGTGGGGCGCCGCTGGGAGCTGGTCCTGTGCTCAGCAGGCACTGGCAGAGCCTGTGGAAAGTGGGGAGCGGGGTGTCACAGACAGTCCCTACAGACACCCCCGCAGCCCCACAAGAAGCCCAGCTCACCTGGAGTGATGAGTGCGGTGGCTTTCTCAGGCAAGGGGCTAGAGAGAGGCCATTGGTATCAGGTTAGCATGGAGGATCTTCTTCCCTCCCCAGAACCCTGATGCCTCTTCCCTGGGGGCACACCTCTTCGCTATTCTTCCAAGGGCGCTTCATACCAAGGGTCAGAGCTTTCCCTGAGTTGGGGCCCTTCGGGATTGATTATCTGGGAATGACAGACCCTACTGCAGGCCCAGTGAGCAGCAGGAGGCTGTCCTCACTCTCCAGGGCACAGGGCTTCACCTCCCCACCACCATGGAAGGTCTGCTCAGCAGGAGGGGACACAACAAGGCCCCAGTCTTACCCCTGCTTCCCATTGCCCTTGCACTTGCACTTGCCACCTGTGAGAAAGAGACCAGATCAGTGCTGGGGCTAGAGCTGGGGTCAGGGCACTCCCTGTTCCCACCCTGCCCATCCCTTCCCATCCCTGCCACTCACTCAGGGCCATCGCGATCCCAGCAACAAACAGCAGCCCTCCGAAGATCATCCCGCCCAGCTGCAGGCTTTCCCAGTCTAGGGTGACAGGCACGGAGAGTGAGCTTGCACCAGCCTGGGGCTGCCTGCCTCACTCATTTGCTCAAAAGACATGTATGCCCTGCATGGTACTTCCATTCCAGGCAGCAAGAAAGAAAACAAGCCAGCAACTAGATGCATTATATAATATCTGATGGGGACAAACACTGTGGAGAAAAAAAGAGTGCAAGAGCCCAGAGACAGAATCAGCTTTGAAGGATGGTCAAGGAAAGCTGTTCCAGAAGGGAAGGTGGCCATTGAGCTGAGGCCCAGGCAAGTGAAGGATCTAGACAGCAAGAGGAGAACTGCTGGGTGGGTCCCGGGGAAGGTGAGGGTGGGGGTGTGTGGAAGGCAGGCGGGTAGGAGTGAGGTTCTGGGGGCCCAGCAGCCCAGGCCTCCAGCCCCTTACCCACAGGTATTCCCAAACACCCTGCTGGAGTGAAGCTCTCAGAGACCAGGTTAATCCCTGCCCCACTTTGTCTACACTGGACTCCACATCACCTCTCACCGGCCTGTCTGGCAAAGAGGTCCAGGACAGGAAAGGGTGGGATGTCGGCTCTTACCATAGTAGAAGGGATCATCTTTATCAGCTGGAGAGAGGGGAAAAAACGATTAAGAACCTGAACCTGGAGACAGGATGTGGCGGGTCAGAGGGGAAACTGGGGCCGAGTGGGCAGGCAGTTGGGGCCCCACTCACCAAACAGGTCCTTGGCTTCCAAGGCAGGCAGGCCTGAGTGGGAGAAGCAGAGAAGTGGGTAGGAATTTGTGAGGCTGGTGTCCAAGTGAGTGAGCCGCAGGGGAGGTTGGGGAGGTGACCCTGAGGCGTTTGTTCCACAGCCCCAAACAGCCCGTGGATCTTGGCTCCCACCCCAGACCTTTGGACCCCAACTCACAGCCCTGCCTGTTTCTCAGGCTTCCTGCAGCTCTTCCTTGTGCTCTCACTGGGTTGATTTCTTGGTATCTCTTTACCCTTTCTGAGAAGCTTCCTGCTGATCCCTACTGGTTACTTCTCTGCCTCCCCAAGACACAGGGAGTGCTTTGCTTTCTTTTCATGTTTTAATGTTTCCCACAGTTCAATTACTCAGGAACCACTGGGACGATTTTTGCAGTATTCACATTCTACCTGTGCTATCATTGCCTTAATTCTTCTTACTTAATTGGCAATTTAATGAAAACACATTTATTGGACACCAGGCCCCCTTTGGGAGATGCTGTCTGGCCTTTGTTGCCTTGGTGGGTGGGGTAAATGTAGGAGGGTCCTGAGAGGAGGGGAAGACTCACCTGCCAGCAGGACAAGGGCGGAGGTCAGTCTCGCCATGTCAGTCTCTCCAGCTACAGGGCAGGCTGCAGGGAAGAGGAGCTATGGCTTGGGTCTGGCTCACAGCTTACTGGATAACAGCCCGGTGGTCGGTGGTTGAGAGCAGGGGTACAAACCCTAGGGATGCACTAGTTTATGTGCTCATCCTGGAAAAGTGACTACTTTCTGTTTCCTCTGGAGATGATAATGGTAAGTGCCTGGAGTTATGTGGCTTGAGTTAATGCCAATTAAGTACTCAGAAATGTGTCCGCAGGTAATAAGTGCCCTAGAAGCCTTTGTTAAAATCTTTAGGATAAACCCTGCCTCCAAGAGGAAGATGCTATTGTCTCCATTTCTTTTTCATGTTTTTTCTTTCTTTTTTTTGAAACAGAGTCTCACTCTTGCCCAGACTCGAGTGCTGTGGCGTCAGCCTAGCTCACAGCAACCTCAAACTCCTGGGCTCAAGCGATCCTCCTGCCTCAGCCTCCCGAGTAGCTGGGACTACAGGCATGCGCCACCATGCCTGGCTAATTTTTTCTATATATTTTTAGTTGGCCAATTAATTTCCTTCTATTTTTAGTAGAGACTGGGCCTGGCTCTTGCTCAGGTTGGTTTCAAACTCCTGACTTCGAGCAGTCGTCCTGCCTTGGCCTCCCAGAGTGCTAGGATTACAGGCATGAGCCACCACTCCCAGCCTCCATTTCTTTTTTCTTTGAAAAACAGTCTCTCTCTGTCACCTGGGCTAGAGTGCAGTGGTGTCATCATAGGTCACGGCAACATCAAACTGTTGGGCTCAAGCGATGCTCCTGCCTCAGCCTCCCAACTAGCTGGGACTATAGGCACATGCCCCCTCTAATTTTTCTATATTTTGTAGAGAGTCTTGCTTAGGCTGGTCTGGAACTCCTGAGCTCAAGTGATCCTCCCACCTCGGCCTCCCAGAGTGCTAGGATTACAGGGTAAGCCACCTCACAGGGCCTACTATTGTCTCCATTTCATAGGGAGGTATAATCAGATGCCCAAAATCAGGCAGTTGCTGTTCTAAGGCAGAGCATGGAGCTGGCCTTCCTAACCCCACAAAAAGGGAGCTGCTCTCAGGCCCTGGGCTATGTTCTGGGAGGTCTGGGCTTGGGGTGGCCAAATCCAGCACTTTCAGGCTAAATTCCACATAACTGCCTTTGCCACAAAGGTAAAGGTACAAAGGAAGAAGCCCAGGAGGCAGCCTTGAGCTCTGGGGTGAGGGAGCCACGCCCTTGACGACCTCCTCCCCCCAGCCCAGCCCTGGCCTGGGACCCTGCTCCTGGTAGCTCCAGATTCCACTGTCAGAGCACAGACCTCCATCAGCTGGTAACGCAGTGCAGTGGGACGTTCCTCCTTTCTCCTTCAGGTGGGAACTACCCACAACCCCATTTACTTGTCCCTGGGGTGACTGAGTCCTTGACATCAGCCCCTTCCAGCTTTCTGCATATCTGCTGTGCCCAACTCTGGCCTCCTAATGAGCTCACAGATCCAGGGCCAGATGGCCGGGCTCAGACGCCTCAGCCACTCACCAACTGTGTGACTCAGCAGGTTACCCAACCCCTCTGCTTCAGTGTCCTGTAAAAAATGAGGACAATCCTAATACCAACCTCACAAGGTTACAGCAGTGGGATTAAGTGAACTACTAGTTGTCTATAAGCACTGAAAGCCTGTTACAATAAACACATTGCAGGAGGGAGGGACTGTTAATGTGGGCCTCCCTCTGGCTACCCTGTCTCTTTACCTTCCACGCCCCTGGAGTTCCTGTATCATGAGGGTCTCAACTCCAGTCCACATGTTTTTTAGCCAAAGCCTGGCTCCCGTTTCCTGTAGCCCATTACCCATCATCCACATGACAGCCGTCACAAAGCGGGAGCCCTCCCTACCCAGGAAGCCACTGCAGCCATATCTCAAACCCCAAACAGGCTCCTGGTTACTCAGAATCCTTGGGAACACTGCCTCACCCCACACTGGTCCCTTAGGCTATCCCCGTGCACCTCATAGCCCCAAAGTGGATGCCTGCTCACCTGAGTGAAGAGCTCACCTGAGCCAGGGGTGCAAGGAGCAGGTCCGAGGAGGCTGCTGGGGCTGTGGATGGCCCAGGCAAGTGCGTTCCGGCTTTTTAAACCCTGTAGTCCCGCCCAGGGCTACACACCAGCAGGCTGGAGGGAACTGGTCAGACTCCTCCAGACTCTGGCCCCTGCTCCTCCCTGCTGAGCTCTTAAGGAACAGCCGCCTGCCACACCCAGGGTGCTGGGGGAGAGGGGTGGGCTGGGCCTCTAACCAGAACCTTGAGGGAGGAGGAGGAGGTGGGTTTCAGGGAGGAGGTGATGGGCTTTCGGCTTCTTTCTTTTTATTTTTATTTCAGTAGATTTAGGGGGTACAAGTGGTTTTTGTTACATGAATGAATTGTGTAATGGTGAAGTCAGGGCTTTTAGTGAACCTGTCCCTGAATAGTGTATGTTGTAACTGATAGGTAATTTTTTTATTTTTTTATTTTGGAGACAGAGTCTCACTCTGTTGCCCGGGCTAGAGAGGTGTGGCGTCAGCCTAGCTCACAGCAACCTCAAACTCCTGGGCTCAAACCATCCTCCTGCCTCAGCCTCCCAACTATCTGGGACTATAGGTGCACACCACCACCCCCAGCTGATTTTTCTATTTTAAACTGACGGGATCTTACTCTTGCTCAGACTGGTCTTGAACTCCTGAGCTCAAGCCATCCTCTCACCTCGGCCTCCCAGAGTGCTGGGATGACAGGTGTGAGCCACTGTGCCCGTCCCAATAGGTAATTTTTGATCCCTCACCCACCTCACATCCTCCTCACTCTGAGTCTCCAAAGTCCATGATACCACTCTGTGTGACCATATATACCTATTATTTAGCTGCTACTTATAAGTGAGTACATTTGTATTTGTTTTTCCATTCCTAGGATACTTCATTTAGGATAATGGGTTCCTCTTCTATCCAAGTTGCTGCAAAAGACATTATTTCATTCTTATTTATGATTGAGTAGTACTCTATGGTATGTATACACCCCACTTTCTTTATCCACTCATCAGTGGTGGGCACTTCGGTTGATTCCATTCTCTGCAATTGTGAATTGTGCTGCAGTGAACATACATGTGCATGTCTTTTTGACATAATGACCTCTTTCCCTTTGGGCAGACACCCAGTAGGGGGGGTTGAATGGTAAGTCCAATTTTAGTTCTTTGAGGAATCTCCATACTGTTTTCCATAGAGGTTATATTAATTTACATTCCCATCAAGCATGTATAAACAAGCGTTCCCTTTTCTCCGTGTCTGCATTGTGCTAGCATCTATTGTTTCTTTTTTAATAATGGCCATTCTGACATAAATTGCATCAGCTTCTTTAGCTCACCTACATTCTAAAAGATGGGCCTGGAGGGTGCTGTGGCAGGGAGTTGCTGGCCTCTTATGCCAGCAGTGGGGGCTCCAGGATTCCTATGGGGGTGGCCTGGGGCTCCGTAGGCTCAGTGGTCCCACTGCTTTTACTTGGACTGGGTGTTGCGGGGGAGGAATGGGGACCAATGCATGCCCCTTGGGATGGCTCAGCTCTGACCAGGCCCTGACACCCACTTAGGTGCCAGGAGGAGGATAGTCGCTGCTATCAGTGCCGCCAGACTCCCCACTACAGGCCTCCGGACGCCCCAGGCCTCTGCATCTGCTGTCTTGCTCACCAGTTCCTCTTTTCCACACGAGGGTACTTGTCCTTGTCCAGAAGACAAATGGGGATGGCTGATGAAGGATTAGGGTCTCTGACCTGGGCGGGCTGGGGAGAGCAATGAAGGCTTTAGGTGGGTGGGTCTTCTTTGGGATAGAATGAAAGGACTGTAAGGGCTGGGCATGGTGGCTCACACTTGTAATCCCAGCACTTTGGGAGGCCAAGGTGGGAGGATCTCTTGAGGTCAGGAGTTGGAGACCAGCCTGAGTAAGAGCGAGACCCAGTCTCTACTAAAAAGAGAAAAATTAGCCGGGTGTGGTGGTGCGTGCCTGTGGTCCCAGCTACTCAGGAGGCTGAGGCAGGAGGATGGCTTGAGCCCAGGAGGTGGAGGTTGCAGTGAGCTATGATCACTCCACTGCACTCTAGGCTGGGCAACAAAGTGAGAGCTTGTCTCCAAAAAAACAAAACAAAAACAGAGATAAGAGAGACTGTAAGGGTGAAGGGCTCTGCTGACAGCTGGCTCTGTGGAGGGCCTAGGAAGGGTCACACTCTGGGAGCGGGGAAAGGGAGGAGGATCCCCAGATCTCTCTTCTGCCCGGCTCCCCCAGATTTATCAAACCCTCTGCATGGAATCAAGCGAGCTAGATTCTATGTATCCAGTAGGTTCAGGGGGCAGCGGGGTGGGGGCTGGGGCAGAGTGCAATGGGGGGAGTTAGGAACAGAATTGGGTTTGGAAAGAGGTTCTTGGCAACTGAGGAACTAAGGGACCTTTAGGCCGAGTAGAAAATCTCTCTCTCCCTGGGAGGGCCAGCTTGTGGGGAACAGAGAGGGACACTTGATCTCGACCTTGATCTCTACCTGAGCTCACATCCCCAGGAGGAGCAGGACGTGGGGAGGCCAAAAAGTGGGGCCACCTTTACCTAAACACAAGATCTCTATGAAGATTGAGACAACTCCGCGTGTACTGACTTGAAACTATCTCCCAGACATATAATGAAGTGGAAAAAAGTATAGAGCAGTCAGAATAGGATGCTGTCACTTGTGCAAAGATATGAGCTATTTGTCAATGCTCCTATGTGCAGGGACTGTCCCTAGCCACTGGGCGAGGGCAGCGGGCTGCGGGAAGGCCCCAGGGACACTCAGCTGGCCTGCCTTTGTCTGCCATGCCTGCTCTGCAAAACAAGAGCTCGGCCTCTCCCGGCCTGTGGCTACCTTGCCCTCTGGACCCACAGCCTGTGTCTGCGTGCACACGACAGAGCTCAGCACAGAGGTGGCCAGGAGACCTCTGGTAACCGGTGTTGTCGCGGCTCGCTATTTCTTGAGCTCATCGCACATATGATCTCATTCAGCCCTCACAAGCGTCCCTTGAGGCACACGACCTCATTATCCTGTCAACCTAAGATAATCTAAAAGGTCAGAATCTAGGTTAAAGGGATTTTATTTAAGTGTAAAGGTCGAGGACAGCTTGCTTGGGAAGTACAGATTTTAAAGACAGAAGTAAGTGTTTGAAAGTGTAGAAGTTTGGGAAGTTTAGTGGAATTTTAATATTTTTAAATGTAAGACTTAATGTATAGTTATAATGATTTGAGTAGTCCGAGGTGGTCATTTTGGTTCGAGGGAAGGTATATTTAACATTTTATACTGAAGATATAACTATCATGGGGTCCCTGCTTGGGGCACGTCTGGCCTGAGGTAGGTACAGGACAATAAAGGAGGCAGTTAATCTATAACAGAGCCCAGCGATTGGAAGAGGGAGGTCTAGTCTCTCGTCTTTTTTTAGGCATTTATAAAACAAAAGCAATGAGGAAGAGAGTTAAGTTACAATTTAAAAGGTGGAATTGTAAAACAAATTATGTGACTCAGATCTTAGTCACAGCTCTCATAAGGCTTAAAGTGTTTTGGGGTTCTAATAGCTTTTAAATTTTACCTTCTCTGGCAAGCACGGTGGCTCATGCCTGTAATCCTAGCACTCTGAGAGGCCGAGGCAAGAGGATAGCTTGAGCTCAGGAGTTTGAGACCAGCCTGAGCAAGAGCGAGACCCTGTCTCTACTAAAAATAGAAAAATTAGCCAGGTGTGATGATGGGCACATGTAGTCCCAGGTACTCAGGAGGCTGAGACAGGAGGATCGTTTGAGCCCAGGAGTTTGAGGTTGTAGTGAATTATGATGACACCATGGCACTCTACCTGGGACAACAGAGTGAACTCTGTCTCAAATAAATAAATAAATAAATAAATAAATAAAATTTTATGTTCACAGTTCCCACTTTTGAAGGGTGAGGAAACTGAGGAAGAAAAAGGTTGAGTGGCTTGCCCCATGTCACATGTGGGGTGGATGATGAGGCCAGGACCCCAGCCTGACAGCACGGTGGCAACACCTTCACTGTGCTTTTTTGGGGGGGGGCTCTCTGGGCACCGCGGTCTCCTGGAGGGCAGATCTCGGCCCTGTAGGCTGGCCTCTCACCTGGCCTCTGCCACCCACTCTTTTTCTTCAGGTCTCTGGATGTGTGTGTGTCCCCAGCCATTCTCCATAAATGAAAGAAGTAGAATGTGGCCGTAATAGCAGAGTTTGGATCTGGGCCCATCTTATAAGCCTGGTGACATTTGAGGGGGGGTACCATTAACTTGTCTCTGTTTCTTCATCTATAAAGGAATGGTGAGAGTATTGGTTTTTTTTGTCTATTTGTTTCTATTTTTAGTTACCCAGCTAATTTTGTTTTTTCTATTTTTTTTAGTAGAGACAGGGTCTTGCTCTTGCTCAGGCTGGTCTTGAACTCCTGAGCTCAAGCAATCCTCCTGCCTTGGCCTCCCAGAGTGCTAGGTCTACAGGTGTGAGTCACCGCGCCTGCCTAAGAGCATTGTTTTGAGGACTTGATGGCCTGAGCTGGCTGCCTTGCCAAGATGGCCTCTCTGAGGGTAGTATCACCTGCAGCAGTGTGTCTCCCCAACCTTTCTGCTTTCTGTCTCAGTCTCCCAGGTCTCTTTTTAAATCTTTCCCTGCCTCTGTGTGTATGAGTGAGTGTATGTGTGTGCATGTGTGTGTGTGAGCCAGCATAGAGCCCCTAAAGTAGATGATCTCAGCCTTCTACTGATGCCTGTGACATTCAGTCTATCCTGGAAAATAGAAGGCTCATGTTACCCTTCTACTGTATGCCAGGCAAGATACTTCTCTTTGATTTCACCTCTGGTCAGTCTTAAATAATTCCTGTTTGTATTACCTTTCCTTAAGGAAATTAATGCCTTTGAGGATGCATCTATGTTCTTTAAAGAGCAACAGGGAAAAGCCCATTCTGGGAATGTGAGGAGGCCAGGTGGCAGTGACTGAGAGAGCAGAGGGAAGTCCCAAGTGTGAATGCTTTATTGTCAGGCTCCCCTCTGGGCCACAGACTCTGCTCCCTCACAAGTTCCTTCCTGTCCTTTGCAAAGCTGGGTTCTGAGGAGGAAGAAAGAGTTGAAGCTGGATCTTGCAGTTTTCTCTCTCTCTTTGATACCTTTTCATGCCTCCAGGCTTTGATCTGCACACACCCAGCTGAAGTTTGATTTCTATCAATGCCTCTCACCCAGCTTTCTCATGTTGTAGATAAGAAATCAGACCCCAATACATGGCTCCGGGGGTTCTGATAAGAAGTGCATGTCTCGGAGACAGTTTATGATGAAACAGCAACAAAAAAATGAAGTGCATGTCCAGGAAGCCGGGCAAGTGACTTCCTGAAAACAGCCTTCACTGCCAGTCCAACCCTCAAGAATCACACAATGTGGCTGGGCGCCGTGGCTCACGCCTGTAATCCTAGCACTATGAGAGGCCGAGACGGGCAGATCCTTTGAGCTTAGGAGTTCGAGACCAGCCTGAGCAAGAGCAAGACCCTGTCTCTACCAAAAATAGAAAAAAGTAGTCGGGTATGCCTGTAGTCCCAGCTAGCTGAGAGGCTGAGGCAGAAGGATCACTTGAGCCCTGGAGTTTGAGGTTACTGTGAGTTAGGCTGATCCGGGGGCAAAAAGGGGGTTTTTTCACCCCTTCCCAAAAAAAAAAAAAAAAAAAAAGAATCACACTGTGAGAGAGTGAAAGAGCAACTGTTCATCCCGAACACTCCTAATGGATGAAAGGACAGTTTAGTAAATACTTCTTAATATACAAAGAACTTAAAGCATCTACACTCAGTTTCATGGCCATATGTAAGTACTGGGATATGTATCTAAGAAGATAAGTTCATTAACTTAGGAACTGACTTTGCATCACTTCCAGCATGGAAGGCATTGCTGTTGGCCATTAAGTGTGTGGCCAGCCATCAGAGCACTCTCGGAGGAACAGACAGTGCTCAGACATGGCACACACCATGGATGAGGTGGTGACATACCACTGTGCTTGCAGACGTTACACACAGGGAGCTGGGCTCCTAATCCCTGGTTCTGCCCCAGCCTCAACCTGTCCCCAATCTTGGACAGCGTAAACAGGGTTATAAGAGGTGGGCCCTTGAAGAGGGTAGAAATTGTGGGGCAGGGGCACACTCCTGGATACTTGGATACCTTCCAAAGCAAAGGTGGCACTTGAGACAACATCTGTTTTCTTGCTGCCTACTCTCCTCTGTAGCCTGATGGGGTAGAAGAACTCAGCGAGGAACCTGAAAGCTTGCGCTGAGGCCCTCCACCCCCGCCCCGGCACTGAGCAAGACCCTTCTCTGTCCGGAACAGTTTCCCTCTAAGGGCACTTTCTAAAGGTGGTCCCCTTTTCCCCAGGCTACAGACCCTGCCGCATGCGTCTCGGGACCATTCCCAACTACAACGGCTCCTGCGCACTGAGCACTCACCGCGCACAGCCTGTCTGCTAAGTACATGCAGCATAATCAGACATGATCATCGCAAACACTCGCGGTAGACTCCGTCATGGTTTCCACTTTACGGATAAGCAAATAGGCAGAGAGAGGGGAAGTCGGTTTCTCAAGTGCACACAGCAACTAACAGTCTGGATTTGACTCCGAAGTATGTGCTGTTAATGGTGCTTCTGAATCTTGAGGTTAATGAACTTTCTCCACATCCTGGCCTGGGAGCCCGTAAATAGGTATTGAAGGCTGAGCGTGGATGCCTGTGCGTGGCGAGGGATCGGGCAGAGGAGGGGAAACACCTCGCTCCGAGAGAACCAGGAGGCCAGAGGGGACTACTGCCCTCCCACCTGGACCCGCGCCTCAGGAGTGCCCTGCTCCTCTTCCCGTCTCTCGGCTGATGGCTCAGGGCCGCCTAGGCGGAGCCCGCAGATCTGGGGCTCACTCCTGAGGGCCGCGGGGAGGGCGGCCCGACTCTGCCCACTCGCCCGCCTGGGTGGGAGCAGGAGGTGAGCAGTGTCAGACCGGGTTGCGGTCTCAGCCGGGGGAAGCGCGGCCGTCCCGGAGCTCGGCCTGAGGTGACCCTTGCGTGTGGGGCAGAGCCAAGAGGGGCCCCTTCGCGTAGTGGGCTCTGAGCCCTCTGGACTAGGAGGCACGAAAACGACGTGAGAGTATCGGCGGCAGCCACGCCCCTCGGGACTCCAGAGCTAAGGCCCAACGCCCGCAAAAACGAGCCCATCTGCCTCTAGGAGCAGGGCCACGAGACAGCCAATCGAAGCAAGACCTCGGTGGCTTCCAGCCAATCAGCACCAAGAAACGCTATTGAGGCGGCCCCGCGAGTGAGGCCGCCTGCGAGGCGAGGGCCCAGGCAGTGTGGGCGGGGCTTCCTCCGCGGAAGCGGTCCTGCCCCTCTTCGCGCGGATTGGCTGCGCCAGATTGCCCAAAGTGTCGTTCTCGCCTCCGCCACACCACGTTTGCGCAGGCGCACCGCGGGTTCCTCCGCGTCCCCCTGTGGCTCGCCGGTGTCTGGTTACTGCCGTGAGGGCGTCTCTGTGTCAGTTGGTTCATCCATTGCATCCATTCGAGAGCCCGCCGTGCTCCCGCGCTGGTGGCGGTCTTCAGGAGCCGGGACATAGCGGCTGTGAGGGATAGCTGACGTGAAGCGGCAGCACCGAGGTGAGCTCAGAGCGGCAGGGCGGAGGGCGCCCCTGGGGCGGGCCGCGAGGAGTGAGGCCAGCAAGCGGGCAGCGGGCCTCGGACCCGGGCGAGTTCCTGTCCGTGGAGAGACACTGTTAGATTTGCATTTCAGGATGCCCTTTTAGGGGCTGTTTAGAAGGGCGAGAATGAAGACCTGTGCAAGAGAAGAGAAGCCGAAAAGTTTCACAGAACCGAGAAGCCAGACGATGTCGCTTGTCATCGACCTGCCCTCATTTGGGAGAGCTCGAATGCTTTCCTCCTATCCCACAGGTCCCCTCTGAGCACTGTGGTCCAACTACTACTCAAGCCTCAACGACCAGACTTCTCAGCTCTTGGGCACACCCCTTTCCTTTCCTGCAGGCACCTACAGTCAACTGCTGAAACAAACCTTTCTGCCACCCACCCCGCCACGCCCCTGTCCGTTTCAGAATCTCCCATCTCTTGTGGTCCCTTATCCACTGGTCACAGGCAACCACTAAGCACAGTCAAATGGAGATATCTGTTGATATGTGTGTTGCCCCCTCAGGCTATGACCCCCTCAAGGGCATGGACAGTAGTCTTCTGAGCTCTGATGTCACAACTCTGAGCACAGTGTCTGACAGTGGACCAAAAGGGGAGTTAAGCAACACACCTCGCTTTCCCCTGCAGGCAGAGCCCATCCTTTCTCTCCATCTCAATCTTCGTGTTCTCTCCATGGACCCCTGTGAGCCATTCCCACTCTGCCCAGTTCAGTAGCTGCCTCACCTAGGAAGCCACCTTTCCTGTTCTGTGCCTCCACTCCTGGCATGGCAGGGGCCCACCTCTTCCAAACCCTGCATCACAGGTATTGGGCATCTATCTTTGTTTGTTTGTTTGTTTGTTTTATTTGGTCAAGTGGAGCAGTGGGAGTGGAGAAGGAACAAAGGAATCTGTAACTGGTTGTGATCAATTAGTTGTAAACACCACTGCACTTGGACCAACCGTGGGCACCTATCTTGACCTCACCTTTTTCTCCCAGGACTGTGATTCAGGTCACCTATGGCTTCTTGCTTTCAGAGACCTTGGCTATATGAATAAACCATTGAATAAAATGGCCGACAAATTACTGAGTATTAATACATGGCTGGATGCATACACTTATGGATGGATAAATAGGAGTTAAAAAAATCCTCTCAGCACATCTGAGAGTTGATGGCTTCCTGCTTGAAATTCACCTCTTTCACTCTTCTCAGCTCTAGACCACCATGCCCACTGCCTGCCTCCTGTCTCCACATGGATGTTTCGTAGGCTGTTGAAACTCAACATTGCCTAGAATAAATGCTTGGTTTCCTCTTTACTCCACCTACTCTATCTTGTCCATCCAAGTGGTAAAGGTCTGAGCATCACCTTTTTTTTTTTTTTTTTGAGACAGAGTCTCGCTTTGTTGCCCAGGCTAGAGTGAGTGCTGTGGCGTCAGCCTAGCTCACAGCAACCTCAAACTCCTGGGCTCGAGTGATCCTTCTGCCTCAGCCTCCCGGGTAGCTGGGACTACAGGCATGCGCCACCATGCGGCTAATTTTTTTTATATATATATCAGTTGGCCAATTAATTTCTTTCTATTTATAGTAGAGACGGGGTCTCGCTCTTGCTCAGGCTGGTTTTGAACTCCTGACCTTGAGCAATCTGCCCGCCTCGGCCTCCCAAGAGCTAGGATTACAGGCGTGAGCCACAGCGCCCGGCCTGAGCATCACCTTTGATTTTACCTGTCCCTAATTCCCTGTATCCAGTCTTTAAACGATTCCTCTTCATTCTGCCTCCTATGACATCTCTGTGACTCATCCCTTTCTCTCCTCCTCTGACACACAAAGTGCAGTACAAGCTTTGGCATTCAAGGCCCTGCTTAAACCACCTTCTCTGGTGCTCTCAGCACTCTCAAGCTGGACCCCAGAATCCTTTAGGTTCTTCAAGTCTGTCCAAAAGTCTTTGGATGGGCTGTTCCCTCTGGGACACTCCCTGTTTCTCACATCTGTGTAGGCAAGTGGTCTTTGAACGTTTGATCTCATTTCTGAAAAACTACATACCCACTCCACAGTTTTATGTTGCTATTTAAAGTTTTCATCATAAGCTTAAGTAGTTGCAAAGGATATAACTTCTGGTATGTTTCATTGATATTTTAAAGTAAAATGGTGTGTGATAGTATATCCATTGGAATCTGAACATCATACTATTTTGATTCCAACCATAATTCATTTAAAGATTTACATAAAAAACTCTTTCTTAATATTAGTTTGTTCCATACTTTTTTTTTGCTTCAGTCTATTTCCTTCCTCTTTCAGCTGCAGAATTTAGCCTAAGTCATATATTTTTATTCTTGAAAATCTCTTGTTGACCACCTGTCTAGTCTTTTGAAAACCTCCCCCTCTTTTCCGTATCTCTTTAGCACAGCACAAACACCTGCATTTATTGAGTGCCTATTCCCTAGCAGGCTGTTTTCTAGTACTTTCCACATACAGGTTGAGTATCCCTAGTCCAAAAATTTGAAATCCAAAATGCTCCAAAATCCAAAACTTTTTGAACGTCAATATGATGCAACAAGTATAAAATTCCAAGGCCGGGCGCAGTGGCTCACGCCTATAATCCTAGCACTCTGGGAGGCCGAGGCGGGCCGATTGCTCAAGGTCAGGAGTTCGAGATCAGCCTGAGCAAGAGCGAGACCCTATCTCTACTATAAATAGAAAGAAATTAATTGGCCAACTAATACATATAGAAAAAATTAGCCGGGCATGGTGGTGCATGCCTGTAGTCCCAGCTACTCGGGAGGCTGATGCAGAAGGATTGCTTGAGCCCAGGAGTTTGAGGTTGCTGTGAGCTAGGCTGACACCACGGCACTCACTCTAGGCTGGGCAACAAAGTGAGACTGTCTCAAAAAAAAAAAAAAAAATTCCTTACCTGACCTATGTGATGGGTTGGAGTTAAAACTTTGTTTCATGCACAAAATGATTTTAAATATATAAAATTGCCTTTAGGTGATATGTATAAGGTATATATGAAACATAAAGTGAATTTCATGTTTAGACTTGGGTTCCATCCCCAAGATATTATACACATGCAAATATTCCAAAATCAGAAATCCAAAACACTTCTGGTTCCAAGAATTTCAGGTAAGGGATACTCAACTTGTATTAATTCATGCAATTTCCACAATTACCTTGTGAGGGAGGACTCATTACCCCAATTTTAGGATGAGGAAATGAGGTGCAAAGGTTAGGTGATATGGCTGAGCCACATAGCTGGATGTGGCTTCCTGGCCCCAGAGCTGGCTTTTAACCATCACTCTCCATGTAAAACTGTGCATGTGATTTATTTTTACTGTGATATAAAAATAGCTTTATTGTTCAGCTGTCACTAGTGAAAAGAAAAAAAAAATAAAAATAGCTTTATTGACATATTCTTCTCTTACCATACAATTCACCCATTTTATTTTATTTTTTATTTCAGCATATTATGGGGGTACAAATGTTTGGGTTACCTATATTTCCCTTTCCCCACCTGAGTCTGAGCTTCAAGCGTGTCTGTCCCCCAGATGGTGCGCACCTCACCCATTAGGTGTGTATATACCCATCCTCTCCTCCCCCTTCCCATCTTCCTGACACCCGATGAGTGTTATTACATGTATGTTCACTTTAAGTGTAGATCAGTTAAAACCAATTTGATGGTGAGCACATGTGGTACTTGTTTTTCTATTCTTGGGATACTTCACTTAGTAGAATGGGTTCCAGCTCTATCCAGGATAAGACAAGAGGTGCTAGATCACCATTGTTTTTTGTGGCTGAATAGAACTTCATGGTATACATATACCATATTTTATTTTATTTTTTGAGACAGAGTCTCACTTTGTTGCCCAGGCTAGAGTGAGTGCTGTGGCATCAGCTTAGCTCATAGCAACCTCAAACTCCTGAGCTTAAGCAATCCTTCTGCCTCAGCCTCCCGAGTGGCTAGGAATACAGGCATGCACCACCATGCCTGGCTAATTTTTTTTTATATATATATATTAGTTGGCCAATTAATTTCTTTCTATTTATAGTAGAGACGGGCTCAAGTGATCCTGCTGCCTCAGCCTCCCCGAGTAGCTGGGACTACAGGCATGCGCCACCATGCCGGCTAATTATTTCTATATATATTCGTTGGCCAATTAATTTCTTTCTATTTATAGTAGAGACGGGGTCTCGCTCTTGCTCAGGTTGGTTTCAAACTCCTGAGCTCAAAGGATCCGCCCGCCTGGGCCTCCCAGAGAGCTAGGATTACAGGTGTGAGCCACTGCGCCTGGCCATACCTGGCTAATTTTTAAACTTTTTGTAGACATGGAGTCTCACGATGTTGTTCAGGCTGGTCTCAAACTCCCAGCTGCAAGCGATCCTCCCACCTCCTTCCCCCAAAGTGCTAGGATTAAGGTGTGAGCTACCACACTGGCTGTTTTTTTTTTTTATTTATTTGTTTTGAGACACGGAGTATCGGCTT